CATAATTCTTGTAGCGTTCCACAATTCGGGTGTAGGTTTTGTATTGTGTAATCAAGGGGTCTTTCAAGCAACGCTCTTGCTGGGTTTTTTGATTCATTAATTTGGGGATCAAACTCTAAATCTCTAATTAGGCTTTTTTGGATTTTTGGAACAATCTCGTTATAGGTTTCGTAGTCAACGCTGCTATGTAGTTCACATTAGATTTGTTCTTAAAAGGATAGGTAGATGCCGATTGGGGTGGAGACATAGATGAGCACAAATTAACTTCATGATATGGATTCTTGCTTAATAAATGTGTCATCTTTAGTAGCATCAAGAAACACATGCATTTCCTTGTCCATAATGGAAGTAGAATTTGTAGCATATGTTTTAGCAATACAGTAAGCTGTTTAGCTAAGGAGATTCTTTTAGCATCTAGGAGTCCTTAATGGTGACGTGGGACCTATATTGATTTATTGCAATAGTTAAGCAGCTATTGCATATACAAATGATCCCAAGTATCACAACAAAACCAAATGGCTGCTAATCCATTGACACAAATTATAATTTTGTAAGAGATATCATAGAAGAAAGAAGTAAGTTTGCAATAAGCTTCTATGCACCAAATGGTTGCTGATCCATTTATTAAACCTATCTCTAGAGATGCCTTTGTAAATATGACGCCCCGAACTTAAGTTTCGAGTGTCACGTACAAAACATAAGAGCTTCTGCCTTTGGTACATGTAAATACTCTTAAATAGAAGTATTACATGTTAGAAACTTATTTTCAACTTGGTAAAATGTCTCTCATAAATTTTTAATGGCCCACAGAAGCGCATGTCCACAAGAAATTATACTTTACATATACAGACTCTGCACTGCCACGGTTAGTTGGGGCAGCAAGTTCGACTATTTTTATAAAATTCATCCCAACTCCGTTTTCTATGAAATTCATGAAATTAGAAAGATATTTTCAAGTAGTTTTCTAGGTTAAAATATAAAAAAATTTCCAAGATCATATAATATGGGCGTTTTACTGAAAACAGTGAGGTATTGCACAGAAATTTCAGATTTGACCCTTCAACGTTTAAAAATTCATATCTCAGGCTAAAGATATCCAAATTGAGTGATTCTTGTGTCCATATTAAGAAAACTCAATGAGGAATGCAGTAATATTTTCACACTCTCAAATGGACGTTTATGGAGTCAAAAATAACGTGTTTAAGTTGACCCAAAAACTGCCCCGTTTCTGCCTTTTGTCACTTGCAAGGAGAAGTTTTTAAAAAAAAGGTCTCTTAACACAACATAGACGACATAATTGCATAATCTACTTCCGGTACCATATTACATCATGTCTCATACATGTTTTTGTACAATACCATAAGAAACATATGGAAAGCAGTCGAACAAAACATGCAAAAACAAAACTTCGATGCAAAACAACCTTGTCCCTAACCCATCATCGATTATGCCGACTGACTTCCACCAATTCCGCAATTATGAATCTGAGAATTTAGTATAGAACATTATGAGTATAAAGAATACTCAGTAAGATACCATGCTTGAATTTTAACATGTTAATACTACACAAAAGAATGCAATCAAACACATACTTGCACATCCTGGCTTGCCGGTGCCCTTTGGACTTGTCCTAAGGCATAAATAGATATCTAACTTTGTGGACTTGTCCACCACATTCATATTATGGTTTTTCATGCATAGCTTAAGCATAAATATTACCATGAAATCATACCACTTAAGCATAGAAAATATCTTACAATAAAACTTAAAGAAATCTTGGTTGAAAATGAATTGAGAAATGTTAGGCTGGTCCTCTTCTTCCCTCACGTTTTCTACCCTTTTTTAAAAAAGTGATAAGTTGTTTTTCATGCAAGGGAAATAATGGGCAGCAACACATCTATTTATAGGTGAGAAAAATGATAAATTTTGGGTGACTCTTCAAGAAATTCAACATGTGTAGGCTGCATGGTTTCACTTTCTTAAATTTAAAACACCTCATGCATTAGTTAGTCACCTCATGCTTAAATTTAAAACACCTCATGCATTAGTTAGCCACCTCATGCTTAAATTTAAAACACCTCATGCATATATGTTTCATCAATTTTTGGCCAAGTTTGAGAAACAATGTTTAACTTTAGTAATTAGGAGTAAAATGGACATTTATCCCAAACCCCTAATTAACAAATTATTTGGAAAACTTTTAAAAAATCAAACAATGCAAAAGTTGGCAACCATAAATAATTTTTTGGTCATACTAAATTTTGAAAAGTTAAATTGCTATTCTAAGAATTAAATGAGCACAAAATTTGGAGTATTACGGTAAATCATGTTAAATTTCTGGGATTGCATAGAATCTGAATTATGTACTATGCAGACTTTTTTAATATGTCCATTAATGAACAATGTTTGTGAGTTCATATGTTAAGAGTAACTTTTGTTATAATTATTAGATTACCATTTAGTATACACACACAAAGTATGTCAACCTGGTTGAGTTGATTTACTTACACAAACAGTCGCCTCAGACAATTTGAGGTGTGCTGAGAAGAGATATACCAATCATATTGTGTATACGATCTAGTCGCTTTGATGAGATATCAAGTGAAATTTCAAAAACTAATCAAAATCTATTTTACTATTCATTAAATCTATTTAATAGCCAGATGAAGTTCTCGATTGAGATTGCCTAAATGAATAAATATATGGAGAATTCCTATTGTATCTAACACCCTAGTTTGTATTCACCGACTAGACAATTGTATTTAATATTTCAATTTTGCAACACAATTATGAATATAATATAAATGATAAAGTTGATTATTTTCGTTGATTAATTAAGGGGGTAAGAAATACTTAAACCGGTGTTACGACAAACATCTGAGTTATACTGAGAATTATATTTCCTCTTATAGAGTTGTTATATATCCCTAACACATTTATAGTGTTGTGTACTCTTAAATTAAATTGTTGGAATAAACGGGTCTCCCATGTTCGTTGACTCGACTTGAATTGAATGGAAATGGGAGGGAGAAGTTTGAAATTGAATTTGAAACTCAACCTCCCACAACCTACAACTTCTATGTACAACCTCCACTATACCCATATCATATAAAAAATAGAATTCGTTTGTGAAGAAAATGATGAGAAACACATAAAGGCAATGACTTGATTTGGGAGTATAACATCTTAAATTAGGCTTTGGATTGTGGCTTTAAAACTCCTTCTCGTGTGATCAAATTTCTAACCAGAAAGTGAATACAAAGCAGGATAGGAAGGAATCAAAAGAAAGGTAAGTTATTTAACCTCGTTATTGTGATTTCAAGTACGTTTCACTTGTTCGAATTCGGTTATAAGCATGCAAGTACATTTTACATACAACAATAAGGGATTTACTATGATGAATTTTCCTTGCAGTAGTAAAATATACTAATATATAGAATAATGCTAGCACTTGTGGCTCAGTTTGATCGGCAACTTGACCAATTGGATGTAAAAACTGCCATTTTAGATGGTGAGCTTTAAGAAAATATCTTTTTGTGTCAACTTGAAAGTTTTGTGAAGGAAAGTGAATCTGATTCTATTTGTCTTCTAAAGAAAATGATGTGGTTTGAAAAAATCTACTGAGAAATGGTATAAAAGGTTTATTAGCTCATTTGTTCAATTAATTGGCTTCAAAAGAAGTAATTATGGCGTGTTTTATATTTCAAAACAAGTAGGAAAAACATTTTTTTTTAATACTTGTTACTATATGATGACGATACATTATTTATAAGTCGTACTATGCATGAAATAAAAGGAATTAAGAAAAATTCAAATAACTAAATTGAGAAAATGGACATAGTTAATGCTATAAAAAATAATAATAATATTAATAAAATAAAAACTTGGTATTGACATACTAAGGAATGGAATACACCGTTCTTGTATTGAAACAATATTGTTATAACAAAAAAGTGTTAACTAACTATTAGATGACTGAAACTAAAGTGACTTCAGTAACTTTAGCAGGTCATTTTACCTTAGTAAAGATGTCCTTATGAAAAAGGCCCATACTCTAATGATGAAGGTACAGTGATGTACAATATGATACGTACAAGGCCTGCAAGGCAACCAATATACTTAGTATTTACATGAAAACCCATTGGACTTTTAACATTCGGTAGCTATGTGGTTCCTAAGATATCTTGAGGAACTTCAACTTTAGGGCTAATCTTTAAACAAAGTAACGAGAGGATAAAGTTAAAAGGGTATGTAAATTGCAACAGTGCAGATGATAGGATAAAAGAAAATCTATTTTGTCCTATGTGTTTATGTTGTGTGGTACTTGTATTTTTTATGGTTCCGTATGGTAAATCTCAGTACACCAAAAGTCTTCTCAAATGGTGTGATCAAGAAGGTTTAAGAGGAACGACTATAGCATAGTATGTCATTCGATATGGAAGAGATATGGAAGAAACTCTATACGTAGACATCGAAAACTTCAAAGTCAAGATGGGGATTGTTAAGATTTTGACTTGATATTGTTTAACTAGAATGCGATTGTATTTGTGTATCAGAATATGATTTTTAATTTTTCAACTGTAAAGGGATTGTTTATAATCCCAGATTGGCTAAGAAACTAACAGCCCCTCCGTTTGCCGTCCTATATAAAGGATTCTCTTTAATGCTTTGTTTATTACAATTTGGAGTTAGTCGATTTATAGTGCATTGGAGTCATGCACTCAAGATGTTAACGCTTAACTGGGGCGAACATATGTTGTTGTTCTTCTCGTTTTTCTATTGAGTTTACATTTTCCAATTTATGTTTGTGCTGCTCGATAAACCTAAGACCAGAGAATAATGAAAGACAGTGAAATTTAACTAATTGATATTACACTTCAATATTGACCACATAAAGTTCGATAGAGCAAAATGAGAAAACAGAAAACAGCAAACAGATTTCGAGGCAATCTACAGATTCTGTATTTTGACTAGAGAATAATGAAAGATAGAGCGCTTGACTAATCGATTTTAGGCTTCAACATTGGAAACTTAAAGTTTCCCAGAGGAGGAATGCACCTAACAAACCAAGTGACCATAGAAGGTGCAGCAGAAAAGGCTATACACAAGCCCCACTGGCCGAATCCTAGCCTGGCTGTCCCTGAAAACCCATTCAGAAGTTCCACCATTATAAACTGAATGGAAATAATTAGTCCGATGACGCTCAAGAGGAGTTTTTTCTTTTGCATCTCCTCAAAAATGTTCTTCTCCAAAAGCCTGGGATTGAATATGTTGAAGGCTTGACAGAGAATGTATGTACTAAGGACCAAAGAATCCTTTTCCTGATCATTTACATTAAATAATGATTTGCCTTTGAAATGTATAACCAGAAAGATGGCTATCTGATATAAAGCTTGAGCCCCAATTTTTTTTCGCATTTGGGCTGTGATTAATGGTTCTTTCAAGTTTCTTGGTGGCCTCCGCATAACATCTTGAGACGGCTTCTCTATATTGAGTGCAAGAACTGCTAAAGTACCTGCAATCAGTTTCATCCACAAAGGTTGAAACACCGGAAATGGAATTTTTCCTGTTGAAACAGCTACCACAGCACTCAAACCAGGGGGTTCGCTAGATGAAACAGCCATCACAAAGTCAATTACCAAAGCAACAAAACTTGCAATGAGCAAAAACTGAGTATAAATCTGGACACTGTCGTATATTCCCCGACCCCATGTCAAAATATCAATGATGAAAGGAAAATCTTTGCATGACATGACAATGGCTGAGCATGCTTTGACAATTTCTGCCCCTTGGGTTCCAAAACAAAGTCCTACATTTGCTTCTCTAAGGGCTTGTGCATCTCCAATGCCTCGTCCAATGAATGCAACCACATGGCCTTTCTGCTTCAAAGATTGGACCATAAGTAACTTGTCATCAGGAGTGGCTCTTGCCAGCACGCAGATATTTTCAATTTTCGCCATTCGCTCTTCTGAGCTAAACTTCCTGAATTCCTCACCATTTATCACTTCACCAGGCTAGTAATTATGCTCAATTATTCCACACTTAGTGGCCATGAGTGTGGCAGTTACTTTGTTATCTCCGGTGATCAATTTGACGTTGATTCCAGCTCTACGGCAATCTTCCACTGTTCCCCTTGTTCCACTTCGACGCGAATTTGTCAATCCAACAAGGCCTAATAGAATCAGCTGCTGTCGAGAGAAGGTGAAATAATCTCTTATTGATGTTTTCCTGTGTGCAAAAGCTATACATCTGAAGCCATTTTCTGCCATGCCTGCAAGAATTTGCTAAAATAAAGCTAAGGAACCTTTGTTCATCACTTTTACATTTCCAGTACTCTCATAATAATGAGAACACATTGGAATTATCACTTCTGGAGCTCCCTTTCTATGTACGTGAATCGTATTGTCGCCATTTTTACTGATCAAAACCCCGCTTTGCCTATTCTTCGAATTGAATGGGTTGATTTCAAGAATAGTGCAGCTTTTCTTCAGACTTTCCACATCCATCCCTAACTGCTTAACTGCCCAATCAAAAATTGTCTTCTCAGTTGAATGTATAGGAGATGATGATGAAGACCTTGAAGGGGGTTGAGTAGTGTTTAAACCAATTCCTTGGTGCAGTAATTCAAGCACACTTGGAGCAATCAAATTATGCTGAACTTCTTCAATGGAGTTTAGACCTTGCCAGAACTTGGTCACCTACAGACAAGACAAATGAATCTTTTATTGTCATTGACATCAATCACATAAGGAGCCTGTTGAACGTATGTACTATTGAAACTGACTTTGAAATCTGTATACTGAACCTGCCATTAACACTTTCCCTGTAGCATTTACATTTTACCTAATCTTCTTTAGCAATTTTCATTTCTAATCTCCTGTTATGCCTATAGGACGGTATTATCTATTCACAAACAACTTTGCAGAAGTTGTTAATTTACCATGAAAAACAGATAACTGCACTGGGAGAGGAAAAGTAGTACCTCCATGGAATCCATAGTTAAGGTTCCAGTTTTATTCATGCAGACAGTGGTGACAGATGCAACTTTATGGCAGATTAAAGGTTCTCTCACAAGAATTTGAATATTCATCAGTCTCTTCATTGAATAAGCAAGACACGTTCTGACAGCCGAAACCAAATCTTCTGGAGTAGATGTCAAAGCAATCATTGTTGGAGTAGCCACAGTCCCAACGATGACAGCAAGAACATCGCCAATTCTTGTTTCTCCACCAAAAGACACTCTTTTTCCGTTATCATCATGTAGTTTGCCTGTCAAGAAACGTACCAAAAATACCATAAATGTCAGCAGAGCAACTGTCTTACCAGATTTGCCTACTATAGAAGTGATTATTTTGAGCTCGTCAATTAAAGACCCCCTCAATGATATTCCATGGTGCTTTACGTTCTTGCCAACTCCTGTCACTAGCATTCTGGCATAACCATCCACAACTGTACTGCCAAAGAACAAGAATGGATTCTCGTGTGCGTCCACTTCGATTCGATCAATTTGCCCATCTGTCTTCGTCATCTCTGTATTCAGTGAACAGCCATCTATGAACAATCCATCGGCAGGAACTTGATCACCAGGCTTTAGGAAAACTATGTCTCCGACAAGAACACGACATATTGGAATTCGCTGCCATTTACTGCTTCTCACAATATCAGTCTCAGGAATATAGCTGCTGATAACTGAAAATTCAAGGCATTGAGTGATTGGCCAGAATTTTCCGCTGGAGGAAACAATTACCACTACAAGAATAGCAAGTATTTTTGTCAACCCTTCTTGCCATCCTTGTCGTAGGCCATGTTTTTCAATGCCAAAACATAGAGAAAGCACAGCACAGATAAACAAAACAGCGATCATGGGATCTCTAATTGCTTCCAACACCAAACGGCGAAATGTTTTTCGCAGATTATACTCGGGAAGAAGATTAGAGCCGAAGGTTTTTCTTCTGCTGTCAATGTCAGTTCGATCACCTCTGACGGCATTCTCCAAATCTGTTTCCAGGGCTAACAGCACGCCTTCTATACCTCCATGCTCTCGAATCCATTTTTTATCTTGGGTTCTTACAAGCTTAGTTATGTGTGCAGGATCAAACGAGGAGAAACGTGATGACTCAATGTCGACCATTGTAGATGAATCTACTGTCTCGCCGGAGTCTCTGTCGGATGCCTGAAAGCTACTACTGCTTGGCATGGTTGTCAGTATGTTCATGATGATTCAAGTAGACGACCTAAATCAAAAAGGGGAATAAGATAGAATATCAGAAATATAGGCAGCCGGGTGGTTTAAGGGTGATTATATAAAAAAGAGTCCAACGACAATACTGTTTAAGAAAAAAATTCTATGGATAACTTGTCTATTTCATACAAGGAGATTACTTGTCACGAATCATTTAATATCAGGCCTACCAGGAATCTTACTCGCATACAAAGCTACATTTAAGTAAATAAATGCGACCTTTTAACAAGTCAAACTTTGTAGAGAAGATGAAACAACAAATACAAGGAACCTTCTTCTTCCACTTTCTTTTTGCTCGTTTTCTGGAAATTATGAGAAGTTGGTAGTAAAACGATGCATTTATAATTGATTTTAGGTCTTGGTCTATGTATTATTAAAATTTAGCGCGGCAAGAGAAGAGAAAAGTAATTTCTTTAAGTTTGCTGACGCCTTTGGGGAAGGCTACTTAGGAAAGTGCCACGTAGTTTCTCCTTATTTAAAGGGAAATTTACACAAACTGGCAAGAAAATGATTGATTGCAGTCTTTGCACACTTATTATTTTGTCATCCAATGTTGACTTTTGATTAAATTTACATTCAATGGATTTTAAAACTTTCTTGATGGGCCTCATTTGGTTGCTTTCTTGTAGTAAGGTGTCTCATTTTCGAAGATATTGAAAAATAAAATAGTTTTCTGCAATTTAATAGTTTTTTTAACAATTGAAAATATGGACCAAACTGGGTAAAGTGATGGAAATTTTCTAAAGTGTTGGGTTTTGATACTCAATGAATTCTGGCTATGATGTTAACGTGAGAATATATATTTCATAGGCCTCAACCGATGAGTGAAATATATACCAACAACCAAGTCCAATTACTCTACCCAACCCATTTATATTACCTCGTGTATGTCATTGAATTTTGGCACATTTATCTTTCTTATTGGTCCAATTAAAAGCCTAACCTAACCTCATTTATATGATTCTAACCCTAGCCATTTTAGCGTGATTTGTGAGTTTGAAAGGAGAAAACGGGCTGCCCATTGAGAGAAAAACGACCACCTTTTGTGGTGCCAAAATCGGTGGTTTTTCTCTATGTATTCGGCCTCCTCTTCATGCCTTCTTTTATTGCCTTTCTCCCTGTCTTTGTGGCTACAAATCATCATTGTTATCTTGTCTTTTGTAGGTAAGATTGAGAAGCAACCTAGGTAAATATATTGGTTGTGGATCCGAAGCTGTTGGATTTGTTATTTGGTGGAGAAAGGTAATGTGATACTTAGCCTAAAAAACTCTGATTTGACAATCCTTGGAGTGAGCTTTAACGACAATTGATATCAAAACTTCAAGGTGGTGTGTTTGGTTAATGAAACTTAGCCTAAAAAATGTCCAGGAAACCGACAGAAACGAAACAGAAAAGTCAAATCGAAAACTGTCTGAAAATTGTCCAAAAATTAAGGGTGGAGCAGGGCCTTTACCTGTTTATGTACTCTTTTTAAAAATAAAAAAATAAAAATATTTTGATGATTCATTTTACTGCCTTCATTCATTAAAGTGTAATAGTTATTAAATTTTTAATTAATTTATTTATTTTTAAGAGTTAAACTATTCTTATATATTTGGTAAATAATATTCTTTAGATAATCTTAGTTACCATATTTTATTAGAATTAATGAAATTTCGTGGAATATTCCGTTTAAAGTATTAAATTCTTAAAAAAAATTATCGGGGCGAAGTGGTGTAGGTGTTACCCGTACTCGTCTCGAGGTGGAATCTCCCGCTCCAAACTAGCCCGAATACCCGATTAAGCGGGTAATCCCCACTTCGTTTGGGGGTGGGGCCTGCAAGTATCGGGTTTGGCGACTTTTTTGCCATCTCTGTTCACTAGGAATATAAGAATCAAAGCTAGGAGTGCATAGCTTTGTTCGGAAAACAATTTTAGCAAACTAAAAATTCCTTCTACCATCCCTATTAAAATCATAATTTAAATCATACATTCAAAATTTTTACTCATTATTATCTGTACATTTCGTAGTCCCTGTTCATGAAAATATTGTTCATTTGAAGTACCGCAAGTATATTGTTTGTTAACAAGTAATAAAGTGGATGTGAGTCCAAATATCGTTCCATAAAGATTGATTTAGTTGGATTTTGAGTATCGCGTTGAAACAAGAATAGTAAGATGTGTTTGTGACAAAATTATATCTAAAAGATGTTACTTGTGCAATTATGAGTGAATTTAACTAACTAAATGCAGATTATGCTGAATGAAAGTTGATATGCTCTAATGAATGATGAATAAGATCGCAAATTCTCATGTAATAATCCTTTTTAACAGAATTCTACACTTTGGCAACATGATGAATTTTTAAGAATCAATGTTCCTAATTTATTCAACAATATTTCTCGAGTAATGTTAAATATACTCTCATATATGACTCGACTATATTTTTAAGATGGATGCGAACGTACAAGAATGCATGAATTTTTATTAACACTTAAAGATTCACATAGAGTATAACGATATATTTCTATCCCGAATTGGACCCTATGACATATATACCCATGTCAAGCCTATTTTCCTTCCTTAGAATGCAAAAAATAAGCCACCAAATTCACACAAGTACCATGCAGAATAATTAAGGAAAAAAGATAATCATATAACTTATTTAATTTTCATAAATGTGTTTTCAATATCAAATACGTAAACTAGTACTGATTGATGGGAGAGAGACACATGTGGATTAGTACAATTATTGACATATTTAGAATTCCAAGAGAGATTGGGTCATTGAATCTTATGTCGCTTGAGGAAGTATGTAAGAGGATCAATGTTAAGCAAGAGAGGTTAAAGCAGCCAACAAAACATCTCTCTTTACTTAGTAGGGCTTGAAAGGCCTATGACTTGAGCTAGCAGACTGAGCTTTAGCTTGAGCAAGAACGAAGGCAGACATTGTATTTCTCACTTTAACACCAACGGTTGATAGGAACCAAATTGTCTCACAATTTTCTAATCCTAACTCACGTACCACTTGAATCGGCGAACAACCAA